TTCTAACAAATGGATGCGATTAAAGATACATGGTATAAACGATCTTATACAATTTGATTTATGTATTTTTGAAAAATGAATGGGTAAAAAAAAATATGTTTTAATTCGTTGATAATATATTAATGAATCACTTGCCCGCGCATGCGCGCTGGTAACACCTAGTTGTTATATCTACAATATTTTTACCATATTATTAATTACCAATAAAAAGTAAATTTAGGGATTCTATAACAAATCGTACAAGTAAATCTCGTGGTTATATATAGATAACATTAACATTCTCTCTAGGGTTTCTAAGACGATATAAAAGAAACTCTCTGTTTGCCTTGTTTCTTCTCTATTCTCTCTTTGATCAATCAAACATTCAAAACAATGAGAGTAGAAGATAAGCTGAAAGCCCTACATCCCAATTTTTTACACCAGAAGAGATAGCACAACGAAGAAAAGACACAGAAACATGTGTCACGTTCTTCTGTGTTGGCCTAGTTTTACTTTTACTCATGTTTTGCTTTATCATTTTGGATTTTTTAACACGAAACAGTCCTCCCCAAGTCACTATCTTCCTCTAGTTAATTAGTACTAGATGAAAACTTGTTGTTAATTTACTTATGTCTTCAAGGATATCTCTAAGCTTCTTTTACTTTACAAGACTGTCATTACTATTACAAGAAAGTTTGATTTTCATGTTCACTTATTCGATTACTAATATTTGTGAATTGAGATATTGTACTTTTGCTATTTTAGTTTTTTAAGTTTTCATATTAATATCGGATATGAGTGATACACCGTTTCGATGAGATCAAGAAATATTAATATTGGAATCATCTTGATACGGTAACATGACATGCTCGGAAAAATACAAATCATGAGATGTTACAGGATTTAGCCAGCCGGCTTATGAATCTCCATTAGCCACTCGGTTAAGTCAATTTCGGTTCACTTACTGTTTTAATGATCTCATTATCGTTTTCTATATGTAAAGGCATTATGCCATTTCCCATAACTTAATCAATCAAACAATAATTTCTTCAATCCCTAAACTCTCTGTTCATCATCATCATCTCGAATAATTGTTCTTCGGGATGATCCTTCTGGTTTCTTGATCACCCTCTAGTCTATGATTTACCCTATCTTCGAACTCTCGGTGAGTTTATAGATGGGATTTATCTATCTTATTTTCCTGTTTCATGAGATTAGTTAAGCTCATGTGAATCTAACAAGATGACATGTTTAAGTTCACTAAGAAGTATAAAACGAGACAGAGGAAAACCGATTCAGATGGGAAATCCTGCCACAATACTCCCTCTAGACTGCACGAGACCAGTGTTCATAGGCTTGCAAAGCTTCATTACGTTCTTCAGCCTTCTCCTTCTTCCTCTGTCTGCATACCTGGCAGCAGCCAGTGGTCATATGGTTCTTGCTGAACGAGATCCAAATCCAAGGGAGTCCATGATGGTGACGAGTATCACGGAAGCACACCCATTGATAAAGGACCATGGATTAGTATAATTTGCTTCAAATTTGATTTTGGAAAAAAAATGCATTTATTGTAAAAACACTTTGATTGAATACAATTTTACAATTATTAAAAAAAAAAAAGATCATGGTTATATAAAGCTAAAGAAATCAGAGTTGAAGAGTTTTCTGTCTACTAAAATGATCAAAGACGCTTACAAATTACAATATATATAGCCATTCTCAAAGGAAGGAAAGATAAAACTATTGAAAAATGCACACAACAAAATTAAAAACTTAAAACAGAGTAAGTAACAAACTATTTTCAAGTTTAAAAAGAAACACAAAAATCTATTTACACATTAAATTCTATTAAAGCATACATTCACCAAAACTCAAGTAAAAAAAAGTAACTAAAAAGAAAAACGATTGAAGAGAATTTTTTTTTATTTAAATTTTATTTCACAGTTCTTTAATTTTACATATACTTAATTTTTTCTTTCTTTAATTATATATTTATATGATTTTTAAATTAAAATATACAAATTAACAAAATAAAATAAAATGAAAACAAATAAAATTCAAGCATACATTAAGCAAAACCCAACAAAAAATCTAAGCAAACAAAGAGAAAACAACTGAAAATAAATTAAAAATTTATGACAATTATTTTGTCAAATAATAAAAAACTTTCTTTCTTTAATTATATATTTATATGGTTTTTAAATGAAGATAATACTATCAGATAGATGAGAAAATTATGAATTACTATATTTTTATATTTTAAAAATGATTAAAAATTTGAAACTGTGCTCAAAACGTAAAGTATTTGTTTTAGTCATTTTATTTTTTATTTTTCTGGCAACATAGGTTGCAGCAGTCCATCGTAATCAGAATCTTGCCAAAGGAGATCAAAGAGACAACTGGAACCGCTCCAAATCCAAAGGAATCCATGATGCTGATGATCATCACGGAAACACAATTAGTGATGGTTCCTGTAATTATAAAAAAAAAAATCATGATTATATAAAAAATATTGAACATAAAACCTAAAATAAACTTCAAAATTATGAAAGACTTCGTCTTCTGCTATGAATTAAGAGTAGTAGTTTCATCATTTTGGGATAGGGTTTTCTCGCTTATCGGTATATTTTGGTTTTTACCAATCAAATAAAACATGAGTCGTAGTTTTTAAAGGTTTTGTCGCTTATTGGTTAATTTTGGTTTTTGACTTTTGTCAATCGATTTAGTTCTAGTTTAGTTTAAGACTTTTAGATAGGTTTATCTCGAAATTGTTGGTTAAGTCTGGTTAAACCAGAAAAAAAGTAAAAATAATACTCATATTATGAAAAAGTTTTTTTTGTTTTCTTTTAAGAAAAAAAAGAAATTCTGTTATTATTATATTTTTTTATTAACGAGAAGCTTAAAAAAAAAAAAAGCATAAAAGATTTTTTCCTTTTTTAACAAGTAAAGGAGGAACTAGGAAAGATTTTCCATTTTCTCGCAAAATCCGGAATATATTTATATAGCCGCACGATACAGAGAGAGAGAGCCCATACGGAAACCGGAAAAAAAAACCCACTCTCTCTCGTTATTTGCGTTTTTTTTTTTTGGTTTCGCCAAAAATATCGCTCGCTTCGATTTCCGTTCCTCGCCGTTTGGGTTTCTCTCTTCTCTTCCGGTAATACTGAAAAAAAGTAACAATCAAAACCCTAATCACGATTCTCATTCTGATTCCCCATCGTTCGATTTCACTTTCGATCGATCTTTTCCT